ACAGAAAACTTTTCCTCCGGCTTTACTTGCAGACTGATGAAAAATTTGGATGTACATTTACTGTACATGTACTTGCTACACATGCACTTTTTTTTAACCAAAACGATAGCAGATTGGCGGAGGACAAGAAAGATAACTCTAATTTTCTTGCAATAATTTTTAACAAAAACTTGGACTTGATTTAAAGTGTTTAACTTATAAAAATAAACACATTTGATGGTTTTCCTGGTTTGGTCTTGTGTTTGGTATTGTGAGGATAAAGTAGACACTGTCACATAACTTTGTTTTGTGGCTTCCTTGTATGCTTGTTCAATCTCAAATATTTATTTTTGTAGCAAAAGGTGTTGACAGAGTTTCAGATTTAATATCCAAGGAGAATTAGGATATGGCAGTATTTACTTTTAAACACTTTATGACAAGATATGTATTGGTTGTTGAAGAATGTATTTAGCACTAACTCGATCGTAAGATTGAAATTTAAATATTTAAAGTCGCTTGGTGCGATTTAGACGCATATTTTTTTCTTACACATAGAAGAACATGTATACGAAGAATATGTATAAAAATAAACATGCATCTGTTTCTTTTCGGTTTACGAAAAGCATTTGCAGATAATTTCACTTTGCAGCATAAAGATATTCAAAGTAATACTTAACAGTTAATATAAATGTCAACAAAACAAACTTAATGAAGATAGATACAAAGATAGACACAGGCCTCTAGCAACGGTTTTCAAAAGTGTTGGGGCTGGGGGCAAAAAAACCCACCTTAATTTACTGTCCAAATCCTGGAATTTGTTTGTGCTCGACCTTACAGCAACAAAAAGAGGGGGGGGGCAACTAGCATCTAAAGGAAAATTTACTATTGCAAAATTCTATATTCAGAAAAAGGGGGGGCTGCCCCCGCGTTCAACGGGCCTGAGACAAAGAAGTCACAGCAAACGACAACAGAATAGAAGAAGTAGACAATTTCTGTATCTTGGCAGCAAAATCACAAACATACAATGGAAATTCCACCATGGATGTAAATAATAGCAAACCTGCGGAACATCTGGAAATCGTCAAGAATTAGAATCAATGCCAAAATTTAAAAAAAATCAAGACAAATGTAATTGGAGTCCTTTTTTTTAAATTGTTTTGAGTAATGGACTGTAACAAACAAAATCACACAAAAACAAGACACCTTCCCAACAAGATGCCTCCGTAGAAAACTCAAGATATTCTGACAAAACAAAATCAGAAATGAGGAGCTGTACGAAAGAGCATCAACAGTTGTCATATCTGACCAGATTATTAAAAAAAAAAACTATTGAAATAAATTGGCCATGTTATAAGATTGTAAGATCAGAAATACCTAGGTTAGCTTTATGATAACTCCTCCAGGAAAAAGAATCAGAGGGCTACCAGAGGGGCGAACAGTAGAAAAGAAAATGAAAGATCAGAGATAGATTTGGCCGGGCATGGTACAACATATGTCCTCTGACAGAGATGGTGGTCAGCGGTGAAGGCCCTATGTGAAAAGTATACTATTATTATAACGGCAGATCTGTAGTCCAGTGGTATAAGAAAATTTTTAAATTCTGTCTTTTTCAATGTTCCAATGTTTGAGAATGGTAGTAACACAACGGCATTCTAACACGCAAAATGACAAAATTACAGAATCCAACACGCTTAATGAAGCCTTTAGCTGTAATGTCGGAGTAAGGCAGGGAGAAAATCTTTCACCTCTTTTATTTTCAATGTATATAAATGATCTTGAAGAATTTTAATTGAATAAGAATGTTGTAGGCTCGCAAAGTATTACAATTACCATTGAGAATAAAACTGTTGGTACTTTTTTTATGCGGATGACACTGTAATTATGGCTGAATCAGCCGATGAACTACAACATGCATTTAACGAATTTCATACATATTGTTTACAATGGAAACCGAAAGTGAATGTGGAAAAAACAAAGATTCTTGTATTTTCGAAAGGTCCAATGTTCAAAATAAAATTTTATTATGACAATTTAATCATAGAAAATGGAAATTTAACAAACCCATGGTTAAACTGCATACAGAAAATCTGTAACATGTGTGGTTTATTAAATGTATGCATATGGTAGCAACAGGGTGTCAGTATAAATTATAAATGGATAAGTGCATGCTATTGTTAAACAAATATTACAAAATCAATTTATTCAACATTGGTTAGTGACGTAAAAAATTCCTCGAAAGGACAGAATTACAGAATCTTCAAACAAAACTTTGGTTTTGAAAATTATATTTGTTAATTATCTCCTAAATTCAGAAAAAAAACTTTCAAAATTTCGTACAACAAATCAATACAAATATACCACTTTTTGAAATATTTTATACACTTTGTAATAATGGTCAAATTGCTGATAAATTTCATCATATTCTAGAATGTAAAGCTTTGGTTTGAACATATTTTATTGTAATTTATAAATACAATGGGATTGGGCACAAGTTCTGAAAACTTATTACGCCCTCTCCCTACATGTAAATTACACATTTAAATCGTCACAGTTAAACATGAAGTTTTAAAATATACAATATTTGCAAAAGTTTACAAATCGATGCATTTTGCTAATATATAGATACACTTAATTTTGTACAAATGCATATACTGATACATGAATTAATGCTAACAAGGAAATCTACCAGAATGTTTAATAAATGTTTGAACAAAAGAAAAGAGACGTTCATTTTCTGCAGCATTCAATGAATCTAACCCCCCCCCCCCCAAATAAGACATGTGTATCTAGAATATGGATCTTGTCAAATTGTAAAAATTTATTTAAAAATTCTTTTCTGGCTTTCTCATACTTTGGACATACAAAAAATAATGATATGTATCCTCAACTTTACCACAAGAGCATAAAGGACTTGCTATTAAATTGCATCTATAAAGGTCGCTATTCAATACGCAATTATGCCGTAGTCTGGTTTGAAGAACATTTAGTCGTCTGTTACCGTAATCAAAGTACGATGGTGGAGCAGATTTTTTAGTACTAATTTTAGATTTGAATTTTGACATTGACTGTAAATTTCGAATTTTAAGTGGAATTGAGTTCCATTCATTAACTACTGTCGGAATAAATGTAGACTTATAAGTTTGTAATCGACATTTTGGAATATCATAATTTTGAGAATTTCTTTTAGAGTAGATAGATGTGTTACAGCACATATCTGGAAGTATGTCCATTAGGTATTCAGGCACTAAATTATTATGAAGCTTGAACATAGTTTTTATTCTAGCTTCTTGTCTTCTACAACTAAGAGGTTCCCATCCCGTTTCAAGCCATCCCGTGTAAAGCTTTACCTAACGAATGAAAAAAATATCTGGGTAATTATTATTCTCATAGACCGAATGTTATCAAATTTCAGTCGGAGCTCCTCGGGTGGCTCGTGCCTCGCACATTAACCTCGGACGTAAACGGTTTTCTACCATTTTGCTGATACAGTCATGTGTTCTTATCTGAAATTCCTCCAAATGTTATACCTCTCTCTCTCTCTAAATAAATAATTCGTTTAGGAAAACAGTCCGGAAAACCAAGTGGGACAGACTGACAGACAGAGGGACAGCTAGGCAGACAAACCGACAGACGGACGGACAGACGCAGAGGAAACCTATAGTCCCCTCCGGTTCCACCGGTAGGGTACTAATAAATTATTTTTATTGTGAAGAAAGACTGGGGGCGTACATGGCAAGGACAACCACCTGTTCTGAGACTTTATATTTCTCAATTATCAAAGTTCATGGAAAAGTTATATCTTTGATAAAAAAAAAATATTTCGGCAATGTCATTTTTAACACAGTTGATTCATTTATTTAATTGAATAACTTGTTGATTCTCAAGTTGCATATTTAGAGGATATATGTCTATCGGGGCAATAAAAAAATGCTTTTGAATATGAATGGGCCAAGTCTCCTTTCTACTTTATGATTAAACGACGGAAAAATGAATATAAAATATATCCCGAAAATCGGGGGCCGGTGCGGCTGACCCTTTTTCATAACAAAGGGCTCTGAACTCTTAAATAAACAATTAAAGGGCCATAACTTTAGCTTTTATTTAAATGAATTATAAATCATACTTTTGGTTCTATTGCCGATTTCTCAAGCAGTAGAATCTCCTATACATAGAATCTCAAATCGCCACATATATAATTGATAGATTAATGTTATGATTTATTAGATAATATTATATGAATTGAATATGAATTGTATATAAATTAATGTGTTAATTAGCTCAAATTCATAGGCGTCGGAACCGGGGGGCTGGGCGGAGGGGGGGGGGGGGCTTAACTCTCCCTTTTTTGCAAAGATAGACATAATATAGGCATTGAAAATTTGAGCTTAGTCCCCAAACATTTTTTATTGGTTTACCCCCCCCCTTTTCATTTAAGTTCAGACGCCTATGAAATTTGTATCTCTTTATAGAGGAAATAAAATATGAATGGTATGAACCCCAATGGAAATAAGCCAATAATTGGATTAACCAAGCTGGAAGGCAGTATTATTATCAGTTATAGTCTTAGCTTAATAAAGTTTTTCAAGCAATTATATATATATGTTACAAATACATTAAAAACATATCTATGAATACATGTACCAACTTTAATTATTTGGTCCATGATCTCTTTGACTCTCTTTGTTATTTATTTCTGTGATAGTCTCCACTATGGTTGTAAATGTGAGAGAAAATTTGTATCCTTTATTATGATTGTAAACTCGTTAATACCATTTATTAGACATGTTTTTTATCCGAATAAACATCATAATAATATGATAATAAAGTCGATAAACTTCAGGAAAATTCCTATATTTTTAATATATCAATTCCCAATTCATTATTTACTTTAGATGACATACTGAAAGGTTGAAACTTTTGGATTACTGCTTTTTGCCGTACTAGTTTTACCGTTGTCCCCTTTGTGGCGGGGAAAGTCACGTGACATTTGTATTGAAACGCATGTCGTGAGTCAAGCTGAGCCAAAACAATATTCCTCATGGGTGATCATGACTTACCGTTTAAGGCTGAGTATGCGAAGAGTGGGAGGTCATCATGTAAAGCATGTAAGGGTTCCATATCACAGGGATCATTGAGACTGGCTGTCATGGTTCAGGTAAACTTTCATTTTCATATTCATCAGCTTTAGTTTACGAATCCCACTTTAGGGTGTTTGTCAGAGTATGTCAACTAATGTAACAAGAAAATGCTTTTTTATGCCATATGCTTAATGTTTAATTTCGTAACACATACAAGGTACACTGATTTAACCCTTTTGACAATATATTAGAGTTTGCATTACTTCATGCTGTTGACAAACCGATTTCACAACAGACTGGCGATCAAGAATTGGCTGCCCATGCAATGCCTATGCCTTTTGATAAAGTGAGACAAACTGTGTTTAAAAAAAATCATTGTCACAATCTCACATAATATGTAAAATTCTTTTTATTAAAATAAATACTTGAAAGGTTGAAGAAACTAAACTATTTTTTTTCCAGCTGAGTCGGGGGCATTGAATGGCATTTTCCCCATTTAGTGCACTGATCAGAGCTCTCAATTGTCCTGGTGCCACTGAATGGCCTTTTCCCCAATTCAAATATAGGCAAGCTATAAATCTAGTAACTACCGACTCCCGACCTTCTTGGATTAATATTTTTTACATTCTCCGCATAGTTAAAACGATTCAGTTCACACTTTCCAGGCACATTAACTACATTGAACTTGATTCACATAACATAAAAATATCAATAATATTATTATGAATGATGGTTTGTGTAGACTAATTTGTCAAATTGAGCAGTTCAGTAAATCAGAATTCTTTTTTAGATGTCTGCATTTATACCATGTATACCTTAGTATTATTTTACCTCTTTTGGACTGATGACATCATATTTTTGTGTGTGGGATTAACTTTAATGTAACAAATGTAACAGGTTTTTGGTTATTGAAGAATAACAGCCTGTTGAGGGTTCTTTTGAAAGACTGTATTGCCAGATAAATGAGACAATCAAATGAGGAAATCAAATGATGAAACCCTGCAATATTAACAATATAACAAGTGTAAATATTTAAGCATGAAAATACAATGATTGTAAAGGGAGATAATTCATTATACATAGAATATACATATGTATTTCTCCGCAATTAAAGAATAATCAATTCCCATCATAAAACTTTACATTAATTATCATCATAATGTATTTGAACATTATATATTATTGAATAATCATAAAATCAGTATATGCATACCATTCTATGGGAACAGGTGTGTAACTGCAAGCAATAATGCTGCATATAGACAATACCATACAGTCTCAGAGTGACCAGAAGGAGAGGAAAAGTCGGTCTCTATCAAAAGGTCATTGTCAGTATGTCAGACAACTAAATATACACATCTTTACTGACCAACCTCTGGACAAACAATGTCCAGAAAACCAAAAACCTTCTGGAGGGAAAAACACGAACCATTCCCCAAGTAAAATACAAAGTAAAACACCAATGAAATTAAAAGAAACGTCCAACATTAGGCCTGGATATAATTAATGACCTAAAGCCATTTCTATCTATATACACCTATTAACAGACCATGGGTGAATGCACACAAAAGGCTTTAAACTCATGAATAAGTATATTATTCATGTGCATTTCAAATCAAAATAAATATAATAAATGACACTTATAATACATGTACTTAATATATACATGTATGCAGAGAAAAATAATAAAATATGTATCTGCCACACAAATATGAAAGAGAATGTGGAAGCAATTCATTTTGGTGAAATGATCAAGATTAATTTTTAAAAAAAATCACAATTTAGAAGAATTTGGAATCAGAAATCGAAAGTTCTAAACTCAGAGTATAGTAGCATTGTTGATATATTTATGTATGCATAAATGTATTTCAAGGTAGAAAATGTACCTGTCAAGTATGAAGTGATCCTGTGAAGTGGACAAGTGATATGAAGATCAATATCAACAGAAAACTAAGAGAGTCGGGAGTCTGCAGTACTAGATTTACTGCCTGCCTCAAATATGTCCCTTTTCCACAACTGAATGATGTTTTTGTCCCAATATTGTCATTGGTACTGATAAGGAAGATAAAACACAGAAACCCAAAATGGGATGGGTTTTTAGCTCACTTGAGCTGAAAGCTCATGTGATCTTTTCTGATCGCCCGTCATCTGTCCGTCTGTAAACTTTTCACATTTTCAACTTCTTCTCAAGAACCACTGGGCCAATTTTAACCAAACTTGGTACAAAGCATCCTTGGGTGAAGGGGAGTTTAAATTGTTAAAATGAAGGGCCAAGTCCCCTTCAAAGGGGAGATAATCAAGAAAATACGAAAATTGGGTGGGGTATTAAAAAATCTTCTCAAGTACCACTAAGCCAGAAAGGTTGAAACTTATGTGGAAACATCCTGGGGTAGCAGGGTTCGACATTCACGCTCGTCACCTCGTCATTCCCACCCCTGATTGATTTTGGACGACCTGATTTTCAGTCTGGCTCGCCAAAATGACGACCTGGGACGAGTTGGGAATATTCAATAATGATGTGTAATATTTCAAAATAAACTTTATAAGGCCTTGAAAACATTGTTTCCTGTAACCCGACCGACCCATGGCATTCAATTAGCAGCCGCGTAGATTTTTCTTTCTGCCAAATCTGTGTTTGATCAATCAGCTGATGTAATTTTTACCAAAAGTGTTAAATTAAGTTTTATTTGAGATATAAAATATGTCATCCTAGTCAACAATCACCATAAATATAAAGAGTAATGATCATTATTGTAACATCTAGTATTTCCCCCACAACTTTCTGATGTTCGTTTTCTGCTGCTAGACAGCCATGTTGGGTGTCCACTGTAAACGTCACACCTGGATAATTCAGTCCAGGGATGTTTGATCCCATTTATTTTGGCCTTTGTGGTAAGTGAAAATGAATGTTTTAAACTAGAAACTTTATTTTGTTTCAATATGTGAGGTGAGATTGTGTATTAGCAAAAAAATAAATAAATAAATAAAATAAAATAGATCAAATCCCATTCTACCAACCCTTGATTTATTTGGAATAAACATATTTTTTTTAAAGCCTAACTAGCATTCTGATTCGATCTGCTTATAATATTTTTTGCTTATTTTCTTTGTTTGATTAAATACTGGAAGACATCTTCTGATATTCCAAAAATGTCTGGTTTACATTTTATAATAGCACAACTTCTGTTACCTTAACAAATTTTAAAAATTGTACATTTTTGTTTCTTTTGATATTTTGTTCGGGCAACCTGAAATTCATTCGGGCAACCTGAAATCGGTACCAAGGTTGCCCAAATGGCGAGACCAAATTTTAACGAGTGTCGAACCCTGGGGTAGTGTAGATTCTAAATTGTTCAAAACATGACCCCCGGGGGTAGGGTGGGGCCACAATAGGGAATCCAAGTTTTACATTGAAATATGTAATAAAAATGTTTAAAAATCTTCTTCCCAAGAACCACTGGGCAAGGAAAGCTGAAACTTATGTGGAAGCATCCTAGGGTAGTGAAGATTCTAAATTGTTCAAATCATGTCCCCTAGGGGTAGGGCGGGACCACAATAGGGAATCCAAGTTTTACATTGAAATATGTAGTAAAAATCTTTAAAAATTTTCTTCTCAAGAACCACTGGGTCAGTAAAGCTGAAACTTATGTGGAAGCATCTTGGGGTAGTGTAGATTCTAAATTGTTCAAATCATGACCCCATGGGGTAGGGCGTGACCACAATAGGGAATCCAACTTTTACATAGAAATATGTAGTAAAATTCTTTAAAAATCTTCTTCTCAAGAACCACTGGGCCAGAAAGGCTGAAACTTATATGGAAGCATCCTGGGGTAGTGTAGATTCTAAATTGTGCAAATCATGCCCCCAGGGGGTAGGGCGGGGCCACAATAGGGAATCCAAGTTTTGAAATATGTAGTAAAAATCTTTAAAAATCTTCTTCTCAAGAACCACTGGGTCAGAAAAGCTGAAACTTATGTAGAAGCAATCTGGGGTAGTTCAGATTCTAAATTCTTGAAATCATGACCCCTGGGGGTAGGGCGGGGCCACAATAGGAAATCCAAGTTTTACATTGAATTATGCAGAAAAAAATCTTTAAAAATCTTCTCCTCAAGAACACTGGGCCAGAAAGGCTGAAACTTATGTGGAAGCATCCTGGGGTAGTGTAGATTCTAAGTGTTCAATTCATGACCCCTTGGGGTAGGGCGGGGCCACAATAAGTACTGCAAGGGGGGATATCAGGTGAAAAACAGCAAGGCCATAGTTACTCAGGTGAGCGTTGTGGCCCATGGGCCTCTTGTTATATACATGTATGTCGATTTTCCTGAAAAAATATTAATTTTCCCAATTTTGATGGCTCTAACCTCTGTATGAATAAGTGGTATGACAGCCTTGTACATATTATGTTTGAAATAAAAATATTTAGGAAAATTCTAAGTGCTCTTCTACAGAACTGCAAAGAGGAATTTCATGGTCAATATCAAAATGCAGTTGTCACCAAATAAGACAACTTGAGTAAGCATTGAGGCTCATGCCAGTCTTGGAACCTTGGTTATTTTTAAAATACAGCTAAACTTTGAAATCTCGAACACGGATATCTCGAATATCCTGGATATGTCCAAGTAAGGCCGCGGTCCCGACGAAATTTGCTTTATAAATGATTAAAATAAACCCCTCTATGTTGAACACGGTAATGTCAAATACCCCGGTTATCTCGAAGTAAAATTGTGTACCCATTTATTAAAATCACATGCGTCATCTCGAAGTTGGGATAATTTTCCGCTCTGATGATCAAGTCCGTTAGGTAAACTGAATGCTCTATTGATAACACCCACCTGTCTGTCACGCTCAGGTTACCTGTGTTCCTGTGATGAACAGATGATAGCTCTATAATTATACGAAGTGTGTGTATGGCTTACCTTGATTGTAATTATAAATGCAAGTAAAAGGCTGCGTGTATTAGTCTAATGCATACGCGTGGATGACATGTTAATTGTTTTGTGGCTTGGGTACGTTTATCTTGATAATTGCTATTTAATGCTATGTGAAATATGCGTGCATGCATAGTTTATGCATATGAAAGTGAAAATTACAAACATCAAAGTAAAACAAAATTCTGTAATTTAAAGCAATTAGAATTTATTTTCCCTATATGAGCTTTCAGAATTTACAATCATCCGTACACCATCATGTGAGCATGTGTCGCAGTGAAAACTTGTGCTGCAGTGCCCTGTAATTCAGTGTTGTTCTGTTGTTAGACAAAAGTGCGTGATTCTTCTTGTGCAGTTGATTTTATTATGGTAAAATAATTTTCTTTTAACTGATTTTTACATGTATGAACATGTTTTTCCAATAAAAGAAAATGTATATTTCATTTTTGTTATTCTAACAGCGACTGGTTTTAAATTTACAATGCATAGACGATATCTGGTTATGTATACATCGGAAACGATGCTAGCGGTTGACTTGCTGCATTTGTAGAAGGATTAAACTTCTGTGCATATTATACAAACTTTTTATTTTGTGAATTATAAAGAGGATGTAAAAATCTTTTTATTGCTAAATACATGTACATGTTTATTTAAAGACATCGTATACAGAATTTCAAACGAGAAGGAATTTGACATGTTTTTACTATTCAGAATATGTTCACTGCACTAAGTTTATTTGAAGTTGATCATTTGAATTATAACCCTCGATATGTCGAACCCCTGGATATCTCGAAGTTCATCAGTGGTCCCGTCAACTTCGAGATAACGAAGTTTAACTGTATTTGAAATTATTTAAGTGGCTGGGGAATCTTTTTAGCAGACATTTTTTGTTTGTTGGTAATTTTATGCATTATTTTTTTTTTCAGTCTCCTGTATTTGATGGAAGGGTAAGTTTGATTGATAAATTATATGACTTTGTGAAATAGACAATAATCGTAAATTACAAAGAAGTGTTGCATTATATAAGCAAAATTGTACAGAACACATCCTGTAACATTAAGTAAAGTATTTTTTTTATCATAGATCCCAAATTGGTTCCATCAGAAATGTTTTTGGAAAAGAGCAAAGGTTGTTACACATGGTGATATTCATGGATTTGATGCTCTTCGATGGGAAGACCAAGAGAAAATAAAGGAAAACATTGGAGGTAGTAAAATTAAGTAATAATTTTTTTCTGTAGGTTCAGTTAAAATGTTGACACCATTTTGTTGTGACATACATTTACTACTCAGATGAGCTTGCGTATCAAAAGATTTGATATCTGTCTATTTATTATGAAGACCTGCATACTCTCCCGATTTACCCATAATTTTTTTCATTTTTGCCCCCCCCCCCCCATTACGATCTTTGATTTGGAAGCTGAATCTCCTGATTTTCACCATTTTCAAATTTCCTGATGATCCATTTTAACAATATTTATCCCTTAGACTCGTAAAAATGAAGCAGTAACTCAAAATGTAACAATGCTTTAACAACTGCTTTAACAAACACTGTAACAGTGTAACAAGCAAAGGGGTAGAATTCGACAGAATATGGATTCAGGATGGAAGTTATGGTGATCTTGCCCTGTTCACATTATCGCTAGAAACAAATTTATAAAAGACAATTATTTTTTCGTGCTAGTAGATTTTTGGCAGGACTGACAACTTTCACTAGCAGTCAGCCCTGCATGTCTAACTAATTTAACTGTGAGTTTCAAACGCTGAAATATGTAGCCTTATCTGGAATACATGTTTATTAATTAGTAAAAATGTTATAATTCTGGAGTTTACTGTGAGTGAGTTTAAGAATCTTTTTTATGACAGGAGGAGGAAGCAGTAAGGGAGGGGACACGACTGATGCCGGCTCTGCGGGGGATTTTAGCACAGAATACGCCAAAAGTGGTAAAAGTAGATGTAAAGGTTGTGAGGACTTCATTGGAAAGGTAGTATTTTCTGATTGTAGTTTGGTATACATGTAATTTATATATAATTAGTGAGACAAACAGTAGAGCAGATTATCATGAATTATTTTCTAGGAATTGTCTTTGTTGAATGTCATTGTGGCATTTGATATTACAGGATGAAGTTAGAATTAGTAAGAAAGACTACGAAAGTCAAAGAGCCAAAATGTATGGCCCTGTGGATCAATGGTATCATGTAGATTGTTTTGTGGAGAATCGAAATGAATTGGAGTTTGGGAATAATTTGGGAGCAAACCAGTAAGTATATCTGGTCATGCTAAGTATTATAATAAAAATGGAAGTACATTGTACAATTTATCTTCAGCTTATTTAATGGTTGATGTCTGTGGAGCCATGGTCTCATGGTTAGATTATTTTTAGCTCACCTCAACGAAGTTGGGGGAGCTTATGTAATACCCTCGGCGTCGGTGTCCCAGGTTAAGGTTTTTGGAGCAGTTTTCTTTTCAAGTACTTCTATGGCCTATATTAGAGATGCATGGAGGATGCTTCTAGTGTGTTTCATTGTACCAGTCAAGGTTTCAGATGCTGCAATTTCAGCTAAAGAATGACCAGGTTAATGTTTTTGGAGCAGGTTAAAGAGCAGGTTAAAGTTTTTGGAGCAGATCTCATTTCCAAGTAACTATAAGCCCTCTATTGACCAAACTTGCATGGATGATACATCTAAGGATGCACACTACTGGACTTGCTTCGGATGCTGGATCTGACCTACATTTTCTGGATGAGTGACCAGGTTAAAGTTTTTGGAGCAGATGTCATTTCCAAGTAACTATAAACCCTATATTGACCAAACTTGCATGGATGATACATCTAAGGATTCACACTACTGGACTTGCTTCAGATGCTGGATCTGACCTACATTTTCAGGATGAGTAACAAGGTTAAAGTTTTTGGAGTAGATCTCATTTCCAAGTAACTATAAGCCCTATCTGAACCAAACTTGCATGGATGATGCATCTAAGGATGCACACTACTGGACTTGATTCGGATGCTGGATTTGACTTACATTTTCCGGATGAGTAACCAGGTTAAAGTTTTTGGAGCAGATCTCATTTCCAAGTAACTATAAGGCCTATCTGAACCAAACTTGCATGGATGATGCATCAAGGGACGAACAATCTCAAACTTGCTTTGGATGCTGGATTTGACTTGCATTTTCTGAATGAGTGACTAGTTTTAAGTTTTCAGATAAGTCTATTCCCAAGTAACTGCAAGCCCTATCAGACCAAAATTGCATAAATGTTGCATCTAGGGATGCACACTCCAAGGTTATTAGTTAAGTGTGGGACTTTGCCTTACTTAAAGACAACATTCGTTGAGGTGAGCTCTGTAATCTCTGATGATTACCTATGTTTTTTTTGTGAACAGAATTAAAGGTTTTGAAAGATTAAAAGAAGATGATAAAGCGATGCTAACAGAAAAACTAGGAAAAGGAAGTAAAGGGTAATTTAATACATTCGTATAAATGATATATAACTGTAATAAAAGCCTAGTTTGGATAAACACATTTAAAATAATAACATTAAATATATGGTAGCCTTCATCTTTACTTCTGATGACATTTTATTAATGTTCAAAAAATTAAATCAAGATAAAGTTGATTTAAATGCATTCATTCAGAATTTTAACTGAAATATGGTGTCAAATGTTTTTTAGTTGAAATTATGAAATGTTGTTCTAGAACAAAAAGAAAAGGTGATGCATCAAAAGATTCAGGTGGAAAAAAGGCCAAGAAAGAAGAAACAGAAGAGGAGAAACAACTGAAGGTAAATAGTGAACACTGGCAGAATTATACTGGAGGGGCAGTCAAAGGTTGAAGCAGTCATTTTACAGGCTCTTTTTCCATAGTCAAGCAAACATACACAAATAAGTCGAATATACATGTTCTTTGAAATTGTATCTTGTGCAATTTTATTCTTCTATGTTGGATTAGTAGTACAGTTATGTCTTATCTGTATGATGCAGGAACAAAGTAAGTTACTGTGGAAGATCCGGGATGAATTGGAAAAGTCTGTGTCAAAACAAGCATTGAAAATCCTTCTGGAAGTCAACAAACAGACAGTTCCTTCTGGGGATTCCAAGGCAAGATTTTAAACTACATTGTATATTGGTCATCACCAAATTTTAAGGATTTGCACATAAACCTTCAAAGCTGTAGCACAATCTTTGAAGGATAGTTTAATTCAAAATTAAATTTTTAAAGTAATTGAATGATGAAAGATAAAAATAATTTCCACAGAATGGGATGCAGGTAGTGTTTGTCAAGTTCTTGAAATTTTGGTAGGATTGTAATCTCTGAAATACATTTACTATAGTTAGTGTAATCGGTGTTTGGGGACAGACCTTCACCACAGTTAGAATATAGCTTATTGTATTTGCAATGCAACAAAAGAGAGCAGATGCGTGGAAAATAACCATCAAATTAATTGTAATATTTGTACTTGAAAGTGCTTTTTACTAAAGGAAAACATTTTTTCTTGACTTTTTTTCCCTTAATTTTTTTCAGCCTTATTGACATTTGAAACGCTCCTTTAAATTTCGATGATGAAAGTAATTTCTTTTTCAGTGGTACATACATGTACATTGATGGTGATTTTATCAGATATAGCATTTTTAAATATCACATTTTCATGGCACAAATCAAACATTGAAAGCCATACTGCTTATCATAAACGGCTTTACTCAACCAAAGATGTCAGTTGATGCATCCACAAAAGATAAAAATCAATTTCTTTTGAAAATGGTCACAATAAAGATGTGACTTAATTGAAAACAAAATTGCATCAAATATATCTACAATTAATTCTGTTACATAAATAGAGATACTATTTGTATGTTTATTTTAACATAAGAAGTGCACCTTAACTTCAAGTAAAGTTACGATCGGGCTTGGTATACAATATGCTAAGAAACCCAATTCGTGATAAAATTGATTTTTTAGGATAAAGATCGAACTTTAAAAGTCAAAAAATCTAACACTCTCTTTTTTCCCATTAAAATAGTTCTGTGAATTTTTTTATCGCTTTGTTGTTTATCTTCTTTTTACTTGGTTTCCCTGCCCAAAAAATGATGATTCATGTAATTCCACGTGTCACCATTTAGATATTAAGGTGCAATCAATGCAAATGTTTAAGCTAAAAATTAAAAAAAGTGATGCTTAGTTGACAAATAGAAAAGTATTAGATAAATCCTTCCTACTGTTCAACTGACTGAAAAGAGATGAATTAATTACTTAACAACATGAACAAGGCTTCCATGCATTGTTGTTTACTTTCAATGGAATCTGATGAACCCGGACCCTGGTCAATTTGGACCATGGAATAAAGCCCTATACCTATAATTGTAATACTTTGTTTACAATGTTTTACTTTAATATTTAATCAAAAGAATTTTTAAATTGTTTTTCTTGTTCAATGCCATTGAAGCCTTTTAGGCTTTTGATTTAAAATGAAAATCTTCATTTTCAGCTATTAGATGTTGTGTCTGATTGTATGGCATTTGGAGCTACAGAGAAATGTCCTGAGTGCAAAGAGGGTCAGCTTATTTATAGGTCAGTATCATACTTACTTTAGGTTTTAAATGCTCTAAACTTTTGATCTTTAGGGGTAATTTAATTAAAACTTCTCTTGTGTAAATTTATTGTTTGTTAACTTTTTTTTTTGCAGTGGACATGGTTATAAGTGTACAGGAAATGTCACAGAATGGACTAAATGTATGTACATCACAAAGATACCTAAAAGAAAGGCATTCAAAGTACCAAAGGAATACCATGATGTAGAATTCCTGTATGTATATATAACAGTCATTTCAGTGTAAAACTGAAATTAAAATGGTGATCACCATCCTATTTTATTACACATGTGATAATTAGGGCCCCGCAAGGATTTGCAGGTGCCCTATAGTAATCACTCTGTCTGTCTGTCTGTCCATCTGTCTGTCCGTCTGTCATTCTTCCGTCCACAAATTTTCTGTTTTTTTCTAATAACTTTTTTTTTGTAGTTGACCAATTAAGGTCAAATTTGGTATGTTGGTTGAAGAGGCAGTAAGACATATTTTGATGCTAAGTTTGGTTCTCTATGTCATCCAGTTTGGAGCTGGGGTGGTGGGGTAGATTCCTTAACTTTACATTAGAATGAATGCCATGGCAAAGAGAGATAACTGCTGAGAATGTTCCAATTGTAAACTATGAAAGCTGCAACTAGTCCCATGGGATTAATTAACTTTCCTCTTGAAGAGAATCCAAAGCATTATCTGTTTCTGTCAAATTGAGATTAATTAACACGTCTGTCTGCAAATGAAGTTTGTTTTGAAGTTAAGGTCAATTCTGAATGATGTTTACATTCTCTGAAATGTGGATTTAAATAATGTTCATACTTTATATTGGTAAAATATACAATGAGTTATGATTTTATTGAATTCTGAAAAACAAGATATACATAAAGATATGTTTTTTTATTACATTTTCAACAGTGAAATACTGTGATTTATTTATTGAATAAAAGTGATATTCTCTCACAGTGTGAAAGGATACCAGAGTGATATTCTCTCTCAGTGTGAAAGGATATCAAAGTAAGTAAAAAAAAAAAAATCTGGCCAGTTGTAAGATATTAACTAAACCATCTTGATAGAGACTAAAACTGCCAATATTTCTTCCAAATATGTTGCTAAAATCTATGTTACAATGTTTTCAATCTCACAATTGCTAAGATATGACGTCTCAACTGCTCAACTATAACGTCACAGCCTATGACACTGTGTTAAGAAAAGCCAGAGGCAAAGAGAAAATCAAAGAAAATGTAATAAACAGAAAATTCAATGTTTTGTAGTTGGATATGGAATTTATTTCACTTGTGAGACAGGATTTTTTGATATTTTCACTCGTGCTTCGCACTCGTGAAAATATCAAAAAATCCTGTCCCACTCGTGAAATAAATTCCATATCCAACTACAAAACATTGAATATCCTCTATTTATTTTTTTGTTTTTATTTATTTATTTTATTTATTTATTCATTTTTTTTTGGCTGCCGTATGTAAATTCAAGAATACTATTAATTTTAACAGGTAGTCCAATAATAAACTCATTCTATCATTACTGAAAGAGTTCTTATTGTAAACTTGGAAGAAAAGGATAAGAGAGCAGTACAATTAATCCCTTGGGATTAATTATCTTGTCTGGGGCAGAAAATTTTCCAGGCTTACCTTTATTTGTCACTTTAAGATAAATTAACCTTTGTCTGCAACTGATGTTTGTTTTGAAGTTAAGGTCAAGACTTGGTGATATTTGAAAACACATGCTTTATTCTTGTTTGAATATACATGTACATTTAATTGAGTTATTATAGATGTGATGTTTTTTACTGCCTTATGTAAATACAGGGATACTCTTTACAGGTTGTTGGATATTTAGGAATTATCTTGAAATTTTATAAATAAAGTTGTTATTGCATATTCTTCATATATTTTTAAATTTTTCTAATCAATTAAAATTCTCATTCTGTAAGCTGCACTCTTATATTTCTACCCCTCAGCGGGGCCCTTGCTGACTGGTCAGTTTTCTAGTTTAAGCCATAAAGAATCAATTGTTTTGATGTACATGTAATTCATGAATTATATCAAAACAATTGATTCTTTATAGCTTAAATTATTATATGTGTAATAAAATATGGAAGAGTGACCCTTTGCTTGTTTACATGTAAATAGAATTTTTCTGTTGAGATGTCAAACAGAAGATGGAGATCAAATATAATTCAATTAAAGATAGTACACCATCAGGGCAAAATCTGAGATAAATCATAGTTGATAAAAATTTTTATAAATGAGACACAGTCATTTATCACAGTTAGAGCTACTATGTACATGTATCTCTTATTAGAGAGTCTGTTCTTCCAATAGCAAAATAACATTTTTCTTTCAGTAAAAAACACAAGTATGTTAAAAGAGACAGAATTTTCTCATCAAACACACCATCATCTAGTGCCTCTCTAGATACAGTGGATTCAGGGTAAATTTTGAATATTGTTGCAAATGGTTTCGTTGTAATAAAAACCCTGCATCAGTGGTTAACTATTACCCAGTTAATTAACCCATGTGAGGTCAACATGGTGAAATAAGGACCAGAGACCTGGCCCATAAGGTGACCTGACCTGACTGAGGCTGTGTAGAGGCCGAGTTCAGATCAGGTCAGCCAGTGGGCCAGGTTGATGGTCCTTATTTCACCATGTTGAACTCGTAAGGGGTAATCAATTGTATAATTATACAGATATAAGATGAAACAATTTTTGGAGCCTAATTTGTAAAATTGAATATTAGGCCTACAAAAATTATATATTCTTTATCAGGATTCACTTGTGAAGTTGTTAAGATTTTTGCCATGAAGTCTTGTAAATTTTTGCACTGGTGATTTATTAAAAACATTTTGTGACTGTCAGTAACATGCATTGTTATAAATGCACAATTACTAGTCCTCAGTACAATGATAATCTGGCACAGATTTTAACTATAAAAGAGCCAAGTCTGCATTCCTTGAATTTGACATTGTAACAGAATATTCAATAAATACATGTAAGTGATAAATTTTTAGGTCATTAATTAGCAGTCAATATTTATGACTGGGATATTACATTCCACATGCAATGATTCCAAAGTCATCATTGCTGTTAACAGTACTTTTTGGAGTCATTTTTGAATTTTAAAGCCTTCTTAAAAGCCAATCAAATTTGAATATTCTAAGTAGAGGTATAGTAATTGATTTTAATTGTGTTAAAAATACAGAATGTCTCAATGTTTTAAGTTTATGGAACACACATTTGCCCTTGAATGTATTTTAATCCTGTGCTATTCTAGGTCTAATAAGCCCCTGGATGGAATGAAATTTGTAATTGTTGGAAAAACTGTCAAGTCAAAAGAAGACATAACAAAAGAGATTTTAGCACTTGGAGGACATGTTGCTACCAAAGTAGGAGCTGACACTGCAGCCTGTATAAGTACAAAAGGTTAGGCATATCAAAGTACAATGACACTGCTGAGATTGAAGTTCAAAGAAAGTACATGTATAAAATTATAAATCCCAAATGAACTAAACTGTACGTTTTATTTGATACCTGTGGTGTAGAATGAATAGCAAAAACTAAAAAATACCAATAATAGCATGCTACTGTTTTTGGAACAAAATCACAAAGATTTTGAGCCAAAGAAATTATCTTTATATTGTATATGTACATGTCAACAAAATAGTCCCAACACTAAAGAACACATTGCGTTTTTGTAGAATGAAGTTAGTGTAGATATACAAAAAATGTATTTGCATGTATAGTTTTAAGGGCTATTAAGATGATTTTTTTGCATACTGTGTCCTGAATTTTTAGCGGAAGTGGCAAAGAAATCAAGAAGTATAAAGGATGCAGAGAAGGCAAATGTACAGGTTGTGGATGAAGGATTCTTGGATGCAGTGAAAAAAGGAGGAGCTGTCCTAATGATTCAGAGCCATAATCTGGTGTCATGGGGTTCTGATGTAAGTACACATACATCTACCCCATAACATAAATTATTTGAACAAAAAATAGATGTGTAATGTTTCTATGAAACCAGAGGGCCCTTGGGGAGTGTATACATGTATATCCACAAATTTTGATAATCTAATGTAAGAATAAAAACTGATTATGTCTCATTTTAGCTCACCTGGACCAAAGGCTCAGGTGAGCTTGTTTTGATCAGAGTGTGCATTGCATCCATCTGTCTGTCCTTCCATCTTTTGTTCATTTTTAGCTCTTCTGAGCCAAAGGCTCAAAGAGTTAATGCTATGGGCATTTTTGCGGTGTGCGTAAACTTTTTAGAATATGGGCCATAACTCAAGAACCCCTTGACCAATTATTGTCAAATTTGTCACAGTGTATTCTTGGCCCAAGGGCTCCCGTTTATACTAAAACTAGGGTTGTGACCCTTAAACAAGGGGAGGTCTTCTCAAGAACCACTGGGCAGATTATCACCAAACTTACACAAAAGGATGAGGATATGTTGTAGATTAAAAATTGTTCAAGGCATCACCCTAGGGCAAAGGGTGTGGTCTCAAGGTCACTTCAAAGTTGACCAAAAATTACATTTTATTCAAATGTTGATATTTTGCTTGCTATAAGAACTAGGATCATCAAATCTTGTCAGTTGATGCATCTAAGGACCTCATATCGTTGACTAAAATTTTGCGGCCATTCTTTTTCAAAATGATTTAGAGGCATATTTTGAACAATTTAAGGCCTATGATCATCAAACTTTGTCAGTTGATGTATCTTGGGTCCTCGGAGTACGTCAACTAAAAAATAGGTCACCTTGACCTACTTTTTGCCTTATGATCATAAAACTTTGTAAGTTGATGCATCTTGGGTCCTCGAAAAAGTCAACTGAAAAGTAGGTCATTGTGACCTACTTTTGAAATTTTATGGCTATATTTAAATATTTCGGGTACTCATTGGCTTAGAATCATCAAAATTTGTCAGTTGATGTATCTTGGGTCCTCAGAGTAGGTCAACTGAAAAGTAAGTCACCCTGACCTCCTTTTTAATTTATATGACTATAATATAATATTTCGGGTACTAATTGGCTTAGACTCATCAAACTTTGTCAGTTGATGCATCTTGGGTCTGCAGAGTTGGTCAACTGAAAAGGAGGTCATGGTGACCTACTTTTGAAATTTTATGGCTTTATTTAAATATATCAGGTACTTATTGGCTTAGAATCATCACACTTAGTTGATGCATCTTGGGTCCTCAGAGAATGACAAGTGATAAATAGGTCACCATGACCTACTCTCAGGTACTAATTGGCTTAGAATCATCTTGGGTTTTCAGAGTGTTTCATCTTAAATGTAGGTCATGATGACCTACCTTTGGAATTTCAAGGCTTTATCTAAATATACTGGATACTTAAAGGCTTCAAATAGAAGTGACATGTTGTACAGTTTATCAGAAGAGCGATTCAAGGCCCTTGGGCCTCTTGTATGTAAAGCATCTTACTTTTTACTTGGGTAAAGGGAAATCAGTTTGTTTGAATGAAGGGCCATACTTCCTTCCAGATGAGTTGCATATAAATTGTAATACTGATAAACTGTAAAAATAAGGAAAGTTATGTAGAAAATGTTCTTTAAAACCACCTGTCCAGAAACGATAAAATTTTTATGAAAGCTTTCTTATATAGAATAGATTCAAATTATTCAATACATGTTCCTTGGAGCTACAATTTTTTGCATAGAAATGCACAGGAAAAATCTTACAGGAAAAGGCTTTGAACATTTGTTTTCCCAAGAACAAGAATGCAATGAGATAAATCTACATAGATGCATTTTCATATTAGTATACATGTAGATTCAACAATTAAATTTTAAATATTGAAATCCACAACTTTCTGAGATAAATGTGTCTTGCAGACAGATCAACAAACTTGCGCTAAAACATAGTGCCTTTCTAACTTCATTAGCAGATAAAGTGTGTAATTAAATTTTCCTTTATGTTAAATTTTCAGCCATCCAGTCGTATTTCTCTCTCTGGAACAAAAAGTGCCGGGAAAAGCATGACGAAAAGCCTCAAAGATGGTACGGCATAAAATTGTCAAGATTAAGATTTAGGTATTTGTGGAAGTGAGATACTCAGCAATTATAAGGTCTGATGTTGTTGACACTATGCACTTCCCATATGAACTCTGCCCTCTGATGACTACAAAATACTGAGCTAGTTTTGTAGACAGATACGGGGCATACAGTTTTATTATTAACAGTAATTGAAAATTTTGTACATTTTTGTCAGTTTTCACGATTTTAGAAGAAGAGTTTCTACTGACTAGTTGTAAACATGTCAGCATGAGATATTGTTATGTTACAGAAAAGATGTTCACAAAGAGTGTGCCCTCCACAATGAAGATGAAGGTCAAGGGAGGCGCAGCAGTGGATCCTGATTCAGGTATCTACACTGATGGACCACAATAAAATTAAGTATTTGAGAATGTATGTGAAAGAAACCTCTGTGGAAAATGAATTTTACATTTGTGTTTTGTTGAAAAATTTATGACCAATATCTTTATAGAATGCCACTGTATTTGATAGATGTACAGATGTATATGGCTGTCTTTAATAAGTCAATAGAACATTTTACGATTGACATTCTCTCATCTAGCTGTACCTAGCTGCAGAAATGTAGCTCTCCTGGAATTAAAGCAGAACTGTGCCTCTCCGGGAAATAAAGTTTGGACAAACAGAGGGCGACAAATATTCCACCTATTGAAAAAAAAACTTTAATTAATTTATGGCAACAATTTTTATTGCATGTATGTGAGGATCATCAAATCATGGTGGTGTTTTAGTTTATTGATCTAGAAACACGTGTCACGTTACATAGTCACTTTGATTTCATTTAAAATTTTCATTTCACCCATCAAGAATTTCTTTGTGATTACCTTTTGAACTTCTTTTCTAATTCCATTACAAAAAATATTGCATTTATGCAATGTAAGCTTTTACAAGTTATCTTCACAACTGTAGGACTTGAAGACTCTGCACACATTGTTCAGAAGAATGGAGAGATTTTCAATGTTGTGTTAGGATTGGTAGATGTAGTCAGGGGAACTAACTCTTTCTACAAACTGCAGGCCTTGGAGAAAGACAGTGGATCAGGGTAAAGTCACACAAGAATGTTCTCCTCTTTAGCAGTGTGCGAAATAACGGTAGACCGATAGACAAAATCTATAGAAAATGTGTCGGGTCTATATAGCTAGGTGAATATTTCAAGACCAATTTGTCTATAGAGTAAATGCGGCCATTTTACTCAATACAACTTTTCAGTTGAAGTCTGAGAAAAAATACCATGAATATCCCCAAATTATTGCTTCAAATTCCCAGCCAATGAAAAATTTAAGCTTCAATGCTCTATTGATTATAAATCTCCTTCATCTGATCCATTTTACAGTACTACATGATTTATTTATTCCTACAAATGATCATCAATTTTTTGTGATCTGGATTTCCTCAATTTCTCTGTTTATGGTAAATACATCTAAATATCCCATTAAATTATTTCCTGGCTCCGGGGCCATAAAACTTTGATGAGCTCACTTTTGATCTCAGTCTCACTTTTCTACTATTAATTCCTTGGGTAAAAGTGAAACTGAGATCAAAAGTTAGCTCAGTAAACTGAAGAATGGGTGTTAGTTTGATTTGTATCACATAAGAAAAAATATAATTAAAGTACATTAAAAAAATTTTAACATGAAAAACATCAATGTGTCACTCCATGAGCTAATCTAAAGGTACCTTTGCAAAGGGGATAGAAAGATACTTAATTTATATTAAATTCAGTTGTATTTATTTTCATGATGATCGTATTTGAAAAATCAATTTCATTGTGAGAAATATGCTAAAGATTTTCAACCATTTTGGCAAAAAAAAAAAAAAAAAAATAATAATAAAAAAAAAAAAAAATCGAAGACATGGCAGTTTTTTTCTTCAACATGTTACACCAATACATTTTTTTGCTTATTCACACAAGTTTTCATTGATAAAAATTGAAGTCTTCTAAGAAATTTTAATGTTCCCTGCATCTAAAAAAAAACCCTGGAATCATTACTTAATACTTAATAATAATGGTTATAAATGTCCATGTGTCTAATGTCAATGCATAAAATAATGCAGTGTATAGGGGAAAAAAGGAATAAGCCATTGAAAAAGTATACAATAAAATAGAAATCATTATTATTTTTTTTTTGGTCTATAGGAAATTTGTCAGGTCTATAGAATTTAAAATTATTGTAGACCAATTGTTTATAGCTTAGAAAAGTTAGTTTCGCACACTGTTTAGGGTGTGAATTTTATTTTGTTTTTGAAAGTTTTATAGCAATCGTGACTAGTAGTTTATAAAACATGTATTTAACAGTTTGAGAAGTCACTACATCTGCAGTGGATGTTCATAAGTTTGTTTCTTAATCAAGCATTTTATGTCAATTTGACAGCTGGTGGCTCTTTCGGGCATGGGGCAGGGTTGGCACAACAATTGGTGGAAACAAAGTGGAGCGATTTGGAAGTGTTAATACTTTACTTGATGCTTTCAAACAACTGTATGCTGAGAAAACAGGAAATGAATGGGAAAATAGGAAGGATTTCAAGAAATATCCAAACAAGTTCTACCCACTGGACATTGATTATGGACAGGTCAGTGAAAAAGTGAATTAATTACCTGATTTGTTTGATCATTACTTCTTTTGGTCAAAATTAAGGATTAACATATTTGAGTGTTTGTTATTGTATTCATTTAAATTAAGGCATAGAAGGTTTTCCAACAAACAGCAGATGACAGAAATAATTCTATTCCTTAATATTAAGGCTTGAATGACTATAGATACTTGGTTTATTTATTGCCAGAGCAAGTAGATCTTAAACGAACAACAGATTGCAAGAAATATTATGTTTCAGAAAACCTAGTTATAATTAAAACAAATCTTTGTATTAACAGGAAGAGGATGATACTGTGAAGAAGCTGGATAAGAGTAGTTCAATGTCTAAGTTACCCAAAGCTGTACAGGATTTAGTGTGCTTAATATTTGATGTAGAGAGCATGAAAAAGACCATGTTGGAGTTTGAGGTTTGTATAAACATGTATTTGTATCTTGTAATGAAATCAGCTGGTATTGTTAATTACTGTATTTGGCTGAATATAATACGCATTGGTGTAAAATATGCACCCCCCCTTTTTGAGCCTGAAACGGGGGGAAAAACGCGGTTCGGTTGTATTATACGCAGCAGAAAATTTTACCAAGCGGTGTTCTGAACTTATGAAAATCGCGGTAATTTGCTATGAAATCGGCGCGAAGATAAAGTGCCGAAAATTTACAGAACACGATATTTTATTCAAATGCGTTTCTATTTTTTAATCTTCACTTTCCATATCGCAGCAATCTGGAGGAAATTATTTTAGCGAAGCACAAGATATTAAAGTATTAACAGAGTTTATTATTAGTTTTTTTTTTTTTTTTAGCAAACGGTGATATTGAAATTATACGTCGCCGTATTCTAACTATTCTTTGTGGAAATAATTTTATTTCATCAAAGCACGAGATATTGTTGCAAGTTTTAACAGTTGTCATATTTTATTTTTAGTTTAAGGTAATCATGTTGAAAATTATGTAAATTTAACAGGGCAAGCGATATTGCCACATCAAAATATTCATAAACTACGATTTTCCTCTTTTGAACTTGAAATTAATTAATTAAATAAATAGCTGATGTTATAAAAATTAAATCAAAATTTAACAAGCGTATAAAGTGTAGTTATCAACACACCTCCAAAGCTGTGAAAAATGATGTACAAAGGTGGGAAATATCAAGGTTCGAAATTCACTATATAGAACTCGCAAAATGCGAGTTAGAATTCCCAAATTGCGAGTTAAAAATTATTAACTCGCAAAAACTTGCGAGTTGAAATTTTTTTTGCATTGAAACTGTAGCAAAATTATATAATATGACAGAACACAATGCTTTTGATTTAATTCAGTTATTTAAATAAAAGTCACACTGTAGTTGTATTTTATGTATTGACAGTAGTTACTTTTTCCTTAAGTTACATGTATTTAATTTATATAAATTTAACTTTATATGAAAATTGTGAGTAGTCTTATAAAATTGCGAATTCACTATCTTGGTACTGGCAATTATTTGCGAGTTGTAATTTTAGGGAGTTTCTAACCCTGAAATATGTCTTCGTACATCGAGGTAATCTTCGTGGATGTCTTATTTTCTACAGAGCACGAGTAAATGATAACACTGAAGTTTCAACATACTTCATATTTCCTTTTTTAACTCTCAATCATTTTAACACGAGGTCGATATAAGATAAAGTAAAATTACATTTAACAAGCGTTTACTGTTTAATGTGTCGTAATCAACACACGCTTATGAATACGAAAGATCATAAACCAACCCCCGATTTTTAACAAAGAAAATAATCAAAGCCATTAATAAGGGCAGTAAATAATCAGTGCTCCAACTGTAAAAACAATGCTTTGGAGTCGGTAAACAATTTAATTGCCTGAAGGGGTGTTGAGGGGTAATTATCAAGTGACAAGCGCATGTGTTCACAACATTGGCTTCCATTCATTGGGACGTATAGAGGGGTGTTTATGTTGAAATGAATTATCACTGAGTTATTTAAAACCTAAAATAAATTTTATTTTTATTGTTTTTTATTAAAAAATGACTTATTAGTTTTTTGAACGAGTGTCTGACTGATTAGGAACATGTGTACTATGATTACGGAAGCACGTGGCAAAGGAATGTGTGAACATCTATAAATAACATCGTTAATGGCGGCCTACACGGAGACGATGAACATGCAGCTCAAATTAATTTTAATTTGCTTTTTAATTTAATTTAACTATCAAAAGGTTATAAATATAACATTTTTAACAAGTCTACATTCCAACAATAACTTTCCGAAGTTTTAAATATGGCGATAAACAGCAAGAAATTGCAACAAGTCTCTAGGTAATACTACGGTATGTGCGCATGATAGCCGTGTTTCACATGAAAGAAAAACTTATCAAAATCCCATTGTGGTGTAAAATACACACCCCTTTCTCACAGAAAATTATTTTGGGAAAAAAGTGCGTATTATATTCAGCCAAATACAGTAATGTGAACTAATGACTAGTGAATTTATTTTTGAACTTTGTTTTTTAGATTGATACAAAGAAAATGCCACTAGGAAAGCTTTCTAAGAAACAGATCACCTCAGCATATAGTGTGCTCACTGAGTTAACAAAGGTGTACTTATTTATTTATTTATTATTTTTTTTAGAAGTTTAATATTTAAAACAATTTAAAATAGGTAAGTTATTTGTTATATATTTCAGTTGATAGAGAAAGGTGGAACAGAGACAAAGTTTTTGGACTGCACAAACAGATTCTACACATTGGTACCACATGACTTTGGCTTGAAGAAACCACCACTTTTGAATTCAGCTGAAATTATTAAGGTAAGATAAGGCCACGAAAATATGGTCTGGATTCTCAGCCCAAAATTGTCATAAAATATGCAATTTAACTATAGTATTTTCCCTCCAAAATATAAGGAAACAGGCATATGTGATCTGTTTAGAGGTTAGTGATGGGACATTGGTTAATTTTCATAATCGATCATCGGTTGGAATCGGTTACTGCTTCCGATGCGATTTTACTGATTATAATCAGATTTCATAGTTTTGTATACAAAAAGCAGACTATTACAATTATTTCATATTATTTCTTTAACATGAATATATAAAATATATAATATATTATTTTCTTTGTTGTTATGCTCCTTTTACACTTTCTAGGCCTAAAAAAAATTATGTTTGTTTCCTGTAACATTCCCAAAACATCAAGGGTCTGTAGGTCGGGAATTTTTTTTTTTTTTGCTTATGAATAAGAGGGTCAAACATCCCAGGACTGAATTATCCAGGTGTTATATTTACAGTGGACACCCAACATGGCTGCCTAGCGGCAGAAAACGAACTTCAAAAAGTTGTGGGGGCAGTTGATTACTCTTTATATTTATGTTCCCCAAACGAAGTTTGGGAACATATTGTTTTTACTCTGTTTCTTCTTCTTCTTCTTATTATTATTATTATTATACCCCGCCATGAATATGGCCGGGGCATATAGTGTTTGTCATGTCCGTCTTCCGTCCTTCCGTCCTTCTGTCCTTCCGTCCTTCCGTCTGTCCTTCCGTCACACTTTGCGTTTAGCTCTGTTCAAAGCTCAGTTTCAGAGAAACTATCCAAGATATTTTTATCAAACTTCATATGCTGATAGATATTGATGAGGGCTATGCAACTGCATCAACATTTTTTGACCTTGACCTTTCCTTTGACCTTGACCTCACTTTTCTTAAATTAGTGTTTAGCTCAGTTTTAAAGATACCATTCAAGAAAGTGTAATTAAACTTCATATGTTGATACATACTGATGTAAGCTATTCAACTGCATCAACATTTTTTGACCTTGACCTTACTTTTGACCTTGACCTCACTTTTCTTAAATTGGTGTTTAGCTCAGTTTTAAAGATACCATTCAAGAAAGTGTAATTAAACTTCATATGTTGATACATACTGATGTAAGCTATTCAACTGCATCAACATTTTTTGACCTTGACCTTACTTTTGACCTTGACCTCACTTTTCTTAAATTGGTGTTTAGCTCAGTTTTAAAGATACCATTCAAGATAGTGTAATCAAACTTCATATGTTGATACATACTGATGTATGCTATTCAATTGCATCAACATTTTTTTGACCTTGACCTTTCCTCTGACCTTGACCTCACTTTTCTTAAATTAGTGTCAAACTTCATATGCTGATACATACCGATAAGAGCTATTCAACTACATCAATATATTTTGACCTTGACCTTTTCTTTGACCTTGACCTCACTTTTCTTAAATTAGTGTTTAGCTCATTTTTAAAGAAACCATTCATAATATTTTCATCAAACTTCATATGCTTATACATACTGATGTAACCTTTTCAACTGCATCAACATTTTTTGACCTTGACCTTTCCTCTGACCTTGACCTCACTTTTCTTAAATTAGTGTCAAACTTCATATGCTGATACATACCGATGAGAGCTATTCAACTGCATCAATGTTTTTTGACCTTTACCTTTCCTTTGACCTTGACCTCACTTTTCTCAATTTGTGTTAAAATGTTGCATTACTAATATACCCTCGGCGGGGCATTCATGTCCTATGGACATATTTCTAGTTCTTTTTTTCTACTTTCTTCTCCGGTACTTTTTTGTCCGGGAGTGTTCTCATAGAACCACTCATCCGATTGACATGAAACCTTTTTAGGGTTAATAGGCATGCTGTGTAGGTGTTCGGAATGAAGGTCATTTTGCGCGCACATGCATGCACGTGCGCGCGCGTGCAATGAGTGAAATGACTGATATACTTGATGAAGCCGTAACTTTTATATTTCTTGATGAATTGCTTTGAAACTCAAGATATGAAGATATATTAGTAGTCTAGACAAGATAACATGGTCAAATTAGCGTGAACTCTCGCTCATGCACGTGCGCTCTTCTCTGATTGGCTGATACAAAAATCTCAATAATTTCCTTGTTTTTTGACAAAATACTTTGAAATTTAGAATATAAGTATATATTATAAGGTGCTACAACATGTTATATAGGAAATTTGAAAACACGCGCATGCAGGTGTGCTGCAATCTGATTGGTTGAAACTTTAAATGTCTATAACTCCCTTGGTTTTCAACAAAACAGGATGAAATTTATGACATGGATAGGCACATGGAGCTTCTACATTATGATACTATCAAAATTGAATGCAAGGCCATGCATGCGCGTATGCTGAATTCTGATTGGCTAATACTTAAAGGGTTACATCTCTCTTTTTTTTCAATGAAATTCTTTAATATTTAACACAAATGTTTGTATTCTGAGACACTATAAGAAAATTAATGTGAAAAATGTAGAAAACATGTGCAAGCACATGCGCTGAAATTTGATTGGCTAATACCCATATGGCTATATCGGAGTAGTTTTCCAATGAAATACCCTTAAAAATAAAGTGTCCATCTATATTACAAAAGTATTGTCTAATTTATTGAAGCTTTTTGGGAATGGGGCATCATAAGGGATTGGGGAGCCGTTTGGGGAACATCTGTAAAGGTTCCCGTTACAATTAGCACTAGTTAAGGTAAATGTTGACTAAGTTGCATATTTTATATCTCAAATAAAAGGTACAATTAACATTTTTGAATAAAAAGAATCAGCTGATTGATCAAACCAAAGAGCAAACACAGATTTGGCAGAAAAAAAAATCCACCAGTGGGTAAATTGAATGGGACGGTCGGGTTACAGGAATCAAACATAATTTTTTTAGGCCCTACATATGCACCATTCAGTTCTTAATCACCTCTGCTTCGTGCTAGTTGGCTAGTATCAGATGCAGATGCCATTTTCTTTCATTAAGAAGAAATAAATTTTAAACCAGAAATGGATAATTCTGGAATGTATTGTATTAGAAGTATGTTTCTGATGATCGATTACAAAAAATATAATCGATCATCAGAATCGGTAGCATTTTTTCATCGACATTCGATGTTTTCTGATTATTGGTTCAACACTATTAGAGGTAACCACATTGCAATTATATTCGTATTTTCAGTAAGGTAAAAAATTTGATATTGAGGAAACCAGTTTGGGGGGGAAATTCTGCTCTTCTTAGGGCCCCGCAAGGATTTGCGGGTGCCCTATAATAATCACTCTGTCTGTCTGTCTGTCTGTCTGTCCGTCTGTCATTCTTCCGTCCACAAATTTGGTATGTTGGTTGAAGAGGCAGTAAGACAAATTTTGATGCTAAGTTTGGTTCTCTATGTCATCCAGTTTGGAGCTGGGGTGGTGGGGTAGATTCTTTAACTTTACATTAGAATGCCAGGGCAAAGAGAGTTAACTGATGAGAATGTTCCTGTTGTAAACTATGAAAGCTGCAACTAGTCCCATGGGATTAATTAACTTTCCTCTTGAAGAAAATTCAAAGCATTATCTGTTTCTGTCAAATTGAGATTAATTAACACCTCTCTCTGCAAATGAAGTTTGTTTTGAAGTTAAGGTCAATTCTGAATGATGTTTACATTCTCTGAAATGTCGATTTAAATAATGTTCATATTTTATTTTGGTAAAATACATAATGAGTTATGATTTTATTGAATTCTAAAAACAAGATATACATAAAGATATGTTTTTAAATTTTTTTGTTTTTATTTATTTATTTATTTATTTATTCAATTTTTTTTTCTTTTTTTGCTGCTGTATGTAAAGAGCAAGAGCCACGAACCATCAAAAATGGCCCTGTCTCAAAAAGTAACGGGGTTTTGTCAGTTGATAGTGTAGACTTTTAGCTTTTCTTTGCCGTTTTTCTTTTTTGAATATCGATAATATTTTTTTGAAAAAGAGAGTTTGAAGTATGACGGTGTTTTAAAAGAAAATGCAAGTAGAACGTCATTTTTTGAAACGTAACGTCGTAGGGCGGAAAAATTACCTTGAGCGATTTTACATATGTGATTTTGAATTAAAACTAGTATCAATTGGAATGGACATTTGTCTTACTAATAAACTTCATAATTAATTTAAGACATTTAAGAGCAGTTGGAAATTGATTTCACATCGCAGTCTTGATGGCAACTGCGTTACACTCTACCTGGTACCTATTCTATTATAATTTTTAAGAAGGAACATTGTATTTCTATCCCTTGAACATATTTTTGTGCGATGCATCGCTCCTAGTTACATGTAAGTATTGAGTATTAAACAGCATTAAAAAAAATATGACTTGCTTCAAATGACGATAGCCCGTCCAACTTAGTTTTTTCCGGACTTTTTCCAATATGCCTGCAAATATTAAGCTTATATCTTTGGAAAGTTTGTTTTTCAAAGTGGGGAAGGGGGCAGTCAGAAAAAAATAATAAGATACTTGAAATGATCTTAAAACGAATGTTTCTAAACTGAAGAGCCACAATGTAATTCAATAACTGGATAGAAGTAATTGCAAAAAAAATTGTTGAAATGGAAATAGACTTTTAATCCGAAATTCTTAGATCCTGAACCTGCGAGCATTTTAACATATAAAAAATCTAAATGATTTGGAAAAACGGAGGAAGTAAAAAGTTGGAAGGACTTGTTTCTAATCCATTTACAGTAAAACTTAGTTATAGCGAAGTTCTGGAGAACTTCGAAATTATACTTCGCTATATCCATAATTCGTTATATCCGTATAACAAATTCCTTAAAGTATACATAGAGATTTCGCAATATGTTTTTTTTCCTTCAAGTATGACTAACAAATGTACATGTATTTACGGAAGTATAAAATACAATATTTACTTTGGAGTTCAAAAGTTTTCGGATGAATTGAGTTTCAAATATGATTACTTACAAAATTAATATGTCAGTTCAATATTTTAAAAATTGAGATCT